ACACCAACACCAACACCAACAGCACCGCCACCGCCACGCCCATCCTCTTCCTCAACAACCGTCTCGACCCCGTCTGTCCGATCCGCAACGCGCACAAGATGGCCCAACGCTACCCCGGCAGCGTGGTGCTGGAGCAGGACGCGGTCGGGCATTGTGCGCTGACGGCGTCGCTGGGCGGCTGTGTCCGCGGCCACGTGAGGAGGTATTTCAACGAGGCGCTGCTGCCGGAGCCGGGCACGGTGTGTCCTGCTGGGTGTCGGGCTTTTGAGGAGGATTGTGCGGGAGAGAAAAGCCAGGGCATCGACCTGTGGGGGATCGGGGGTGGTTTAGATTAGTTAGTGGTTTGTTGGCTCGGTCGGGGGGGGGTTTGTGTCGAGGTCTTGAGTAAGGGAATCACGAGCTACATTATATATATACGCTCATTCAGCTCTTTTGGGTTATGGGAGGAGAAAGAAAGAAAGAGAGATCTGCTGCCGATGTGGCATCATAAACATTCACCGATCTAATAGAGTCGGGAGAGTGTCAAGTCCGATATAAATCAAGACAGCACTATCATTCACACCCCCTAACTACCTATCAAAATGTGATATCCTACCTAGCGTATCCCACTGACCTAGGTACCATATACCATGCACCTCTCTCTCCCATCCCACGCCCTATAACCAGCCTCACCTCCCTCCTCAACCCGATGTCAGAGCTGCAGTCTAAAAGTCGCCACCTCAAACGCCCTCAACTCGATATCACACTTCAACACCCCACCCGCACTCCCACCTCCATACGTCCTGCAAACCTCGCCATCATCCTCTAGAACGTTACACTTCCAGATTTTCTTTACCGGCAAGCAGGTTTCGATGGTGCCCCTACTCTTGCCGCCCATGGACTCATAGATCCGGAGAATGACGCTCCTCCCCTCGCGCGTGGCCAGTTCTCCACGCGAGACATCCTCGTCGTCTTCGCCGCGCTTGATGCAGTCCAGGATCAGCGAATCAGACCCCTTGACGCGGATGGACGAGAAGATGGCATGGTGCTTATCCGGCGGGCTCTCGCTGCCGCTCAAGGCGTAGACGCCCATCGGGTTGTTGAAATTGGCCGCCGTGCGCACCGACTGCGCGCTCAAGGATCCCACATGCGGCATGATGGCCCATCGGATGTGGTGACGGCCCATGTCGGCATGGGCGTCGGGGGCTTTCGGCGCGCGGAGAAGAGACAGCCGCATCAGGTTGCCGCAGGTGGCGAAGCCGTATTTGGAGTCGTTCAGGATGGAGACGCCGTAGCCGGCTTCGGAGAGGTCGGCGAATTTGTGGCAGCAGACTTCGAATTTGGCCATGTCCCAGCTATGGAACACCAGTTTCAGTATGTGCTTTAGAGAGGTAGAGGGATGAAGGAGAGGGGGCTTACCTTGTGTTGTAGTGGGTTGGTCTGCGCATGATGCCGTATTGAGTCTCGTAGGACGCTTCGGTATTAACAATATCGACTGGGAACTCGACCTTAAGGAACTTCATGGTTTCTCTCCACTCTACCTCGGCATCTATTGCCACGTAGCCCGGCTCGTCGCCCGTGCTTGCAGATAGGCTGATGGTAGATTTGACCCAGCTTTCCTGGCTGATCTGCGTCTCGGTCACCACGCTGACTTTGTGTGGGCCGTTCTCAAGGATCCTGCTCTTTCCGGATCTCAACACCTTTCTTGAATCCAGATGATATACTTCAACATCCCATGCCTGCCAATATAAGGGCTTGTCGTCGAAGATGACAAATTGATTCGCCTTTTCACCTTTGGCAATGACCTCTCGGTCTGCCTTCAAGTCAACAAGAGAAGTGACACAGCCAGCTTCAACTTCGACTTTGAAATGCATGTTCGTCATCTGGAACACACCTGCCTTTACCTCTTTCACTGACACGTTGGAAGAACCTAGGACCGAAGCATGCTGAATCTCAATAGCTCCTGGACCTCCAGTAGCTACAGCGTATTTGCTCTGTGTTGCCATTACTTTGTTGGAAGGAAGCTCAACTAATTCGGACCGAGACCAAGGCATTGTATTCAGTGCGACAAGTTTGGAATCACTGTCGATCTTTTCTGTTATGCCAAGTGCAGCCAAAGCATCTGTTTTTGCATTTGATCCGGTCTTGAAGACGTCCGCGTAGATCTTGTCACTATCGTCGTAGCACATCTCTATCGAACTCCCAGGCAAGCAGTCATGGAACTGACACAGCAACACGTTCTCCCACATGTCATCAATATCCTTCTTGGGATACTTGTACGATTTGCTCTTGACTGTGGCGAGCGTTGCAAGATATTCGAGATCTCGCAGCATGATTTCCGACTTGCGGTTGCCTAGCTTGTTGTTGGCTTGCGTTGTGTATGTGCCGCGGTGGAGTTCAAAATAGAGCTCTCCGTACCATGTCACGAACTCTGTACCATTGGAAGCTTTTTGTTCGAGCTTTTCGAAGAATTGATCAACCGTGTTGCCCATATGCACTCTTGGAAGTAGCCCAATTTTATCACTCATCCCACGACAGCGCCTGAGCTTGTCCAGCATCTCTCGTGTTGGACCTCCGCCGCCGTCTCCCTTTCCGAAGACGAGAAGGGATGTGTTGTCTTGATCCATGGACTTGTGCTGTGTTACGCTTCGCTTGACATCACCAAAGTGTGCCGCAGCGGTATAAGTCTCGCTGGGCGCCATATGACACAGCACTTGGCTGCCATCTAGTGCTACCCATCTGAAGGTTGTATGTGGGAAGTTGTTGATATTGTTCCAGCTCAGCTTCTGTGTGAAGAATCTGCTCATTCCAGCCAGTCGGCATAATTGGGGAAGCTGGCTTGAGTAGCCAAAAGTATCAGGAAGCCAGAAGGTTGTACATCGTTCCCCGAAATGGCTTTCAAAGTATCGCTGACCGTATAAGAACTGTCTGACCAAGGACTCACCGCTTGGCAGATTGGTATCATGCTCGACCCAACTGCCACCAATGGGTAGGAAGGTTCCTTTCTTTACCTTGCCCTTGACGCGGTCAAAGGCAGCAGGGTAGTTTTGCTCGAGCCACTTGTACTGTTGTGCTTGTGAGACGGTGAAACGGTGCTCGGGGTACCGGTCCATCAAATCGCACTGGCTCATCCATGATCGTACGACTTTCCTTTTCGTCTCGGCGAAGGGCCACAGCCAGCAGGTGTCGATGTGGCAATGACCGATTCCGGAGACAATGGCCTCCTTGTCGGACTCGTAGACTTTTTCGGAATCGACATTCTCTCCAATATACTGTTGTGCAATCTTTCGGCATTCCCGGATCGTCTCTCGAGTACCGTTGCCAGCGATAAAATTATCCATGATCGCATTGCAGACTTGTAGTGCTTGATGCTTCTCCCAGGAATCACCCGGGAACTCACGTGCAGCGTCGCCAATGATCCAGAAGTCGATGTACAGAGCACGAGCATCAAGATTGACCGCCGTGATCCTCGCGGTATTCAACGTATAGTATTTGTTGGGAAGTGGTGGCTGTATAGTGTCCCCACCAGGAGCATTTCCGAACATCTGGTTGCAAGCCATTTCAATGTAAAAAGTATGTTCTTTGCCATCGCGGAAGCTGTTAGGCAGCACCCATTCGATCCTCTCGCCGCCGCCAGTCAGCCCTTGCAAAGGTATGCCATCCTCGCTCCAGACCAGACCTTCATTGTTTGCATCCCAGTGAAACTCCAGATGTTCTGCCTTTAGCATGTTTGGAGGCACAGTAAGCTTGACCTTGAACCAATGCGTAGACCAGCTTGGGCCAAAAGACTCTCCGATCTGTGTGGGGCGGAAGTCGTGCGAGACGGCATCTCTGAAGGTAGGTCGAGCCAGATCTGGCGGGGAGTAAACCGAGAGCTTCACATGGTCCTTGTCGTCTGCGGTGGCTTCATGGAACTTGCTTCGAGTCAATTAGTGAATGCTTGGTGGGAAGTCTCGGGATACTGACGCTCGAAGACCCTGGTGATAGTATTGACCTAATATTGATCAGCTCATGCAGAAGCAGAGAAGGTGTCCAGAACACATACCAGAATCAGTGAATTGTCCCAATCGGCTGGTATAGATGCTTTGGATCTGCTGTCCCTTGGGTTTCTTCGACAGCACCGGCAACGTTGATGCCATAATATGACGAAGTTCTCCTCCCATATTGCTGCAATTGTCTAACTTTGAAGGATACGTGTGGGGAGGAGTGATTAACAGGTCTGGCTCCCACAGCTCGAGACATAGCGGCGGCACTAAATAGTAAACACTATTCTATTCTATTTATCACCCCCGCCCCTAACTAGTCACAAGCTCCCGTACGGCATCGTGCTGGAAGATCATGCGGAGAAAGTGTATTACGTAGTACATCTGACTTGACATGCTATGTAAGTCATGGCAGCAGTCCCTTCGAGCGGCCCAAGTCGGCCTGATCTGGAGGGATGACTACCACAGTATATCCTCTGCCACCTTTGTATCACTCTCTCACTTCCAATCAAGTTCTCACAACGTCTGAACCTGGACTCCGCAGAAAATTCCTATCCCTTGTGCTGCGTGCGGCTGGATCCCTTTTAGCGTCATTTAGAACTTGGCGCCAAGAGATGTTGAGATACAGCTAACAGCGAGCTATATGGTGTTGATACTGCTATGGTATTGCTCCCAACAATCTCCTTTTACGCATAGGCATACTCCGCAGCTATCGCAACACCATTGACTCCTCGATTGACGTTTTCGCTTACGAGATTGCTCTCCATTGACCAATTCGCCCAAAACAGGCATTTTCGACCTGGGATTCCACTCATCAGGATGCTCCTTGCACCAAACGCAGTATCTACGGACTCTCAATCGAGTCAAGTTATGAGACAGGGCCCTCTGATTGACTGTCAGCATACTGTTGCCATGACGA